AATAATATTATATCTGTAGTCAAAATGATGTCAGTTAAATTAAAATGAATTTCAGCCAGGCAAGTATCAAAAGACTGCACTTAGCACTTTGTTTTTACTGCACTACAAACCTCTTAAAGTGTGTTTCAAGAGAAATAAAATTAATAGAATATATAGAGTACACAATATTATTCTTTTAATGGCAAATACTACATAGGCTTGGTGAAGGTTTGCTTTTTGTTAAAGGTTTATATTCATTTCTACTGTTGTCCTCCTTTCATCTATTAGGATTGTTTACTACCACCCCCTCATTTCCCCTCCCCTTCTCCTGTACCCCCATCCACCATCTCACACACCTCTGACGCAAATGCCCACTGATTGATGGCCGCTGACGGTGTTTCAGTGTATGTTGTGGATAAAAGCTGTTCAATCTAATAAAGAGCACACAGAGCAGCCTGTTTATCAGCACCATCAACACACTCGCATACACACTGAAGAAACACACACCGAAATCACAGTGGGACCTGGGCGTCCCAGTCCTGAGTCTGACTCTGGTTTTGATTATATTAGTGCTGGTTGACATATACGTGATAAATATAAGGACATATCTGTTTCTAATGTACAGCCCTGTTTCCAAAAAATGCTCATTCCAAACATTAATGAAGCAGATGGTGATCCTTACACATTATTTATAGTCCACACAAAGCACGAGATTAACAGGCCCAGAAAAATAAAACACTACACAGATTTGGCTGTTTAGTTCCTTAAAAATGTTTTATTGTGGTTACAGATGCATGTGTTGGATTCCATTGGGGTTTTTTTTTGTTTGTTTGTTTGTTTGGTTTTTTGGGGGGGGGATAAGTGTTTTTATTTTGATTTATTTATTTACTTACTCTGAACAATCTTTTTAATGTTTTTATTATTCTATGTATATATGTATCATTTTTGTGATTGTGTGGAGGAGTGCAAGGGGTCTGTGTGGTGTAACTGAAAAAAATATCTCCCAAGGGAGACAAATAGTACGGAGCCCCTCTGATGACGTGGTCCAAAAAATAAATAAATTGTGGCCACAAAATACTAATTCGTGCCCTCGAAATAGGTATAACGTGCGCACGAAATGCTAATTTGTGGGCACAAATTGGGTATAACGTGGCAATGAATTACGCATTTGTGGCAACAAAATAGATAACGTGCGCACATCATATTGATACAATTCCTGGACAGCTGCGTAGAGACATAAGCATAAGAGTAGGCTAAACCTATACACCATGGACAGAGACAGTATGATTGAGTTTTATTTTAGGCTGGGAATGAGCTACAAATGCATTTTGAAAAGCCTGGCAATGCAAGGAACCATTATTACAGAGAGACATTTAAACAGGATATTGAGAGCCCAGTTGCTTTACAGACGTAAGTACGACCTGGACGCCGGGTTAGATTTTATTGTCAA